AATACATCTAGCATGTAATGGTAAAACAAACTGGTTCAACCATATTCATTTGTCAATGTACATGCTTCTCCCATTAATACAACACGAATTTCGTAGCATCCACACACCCACATATATATTGTACCTATGTGATTAATGCATATCGCACAGAGGTAACTTTACGTTCCAGTAACTCGATGCATTGGTAGGGTTAAAGTGCTCCCCCGAATTTCCAGCCATAGAAATTGGCCAGATCTCGCAAGTCCATGTAAACATCGAACGGATGTTCATTAGAATAATAACGTCGGTGAATTCACACATTGATCGTATTAAACGAACAATGTCATGTGGTTCGTTTATACATCCAACGAAGATGTGACTTTAACCTCTTGCCATAAGTGCCATATTTATTTGCTATTAAGCTTGTGTAATTACATACTACTAACAACTCGCAATAACGCAAAGAAATTTTTATTGTAACAGCAAATTTGCCTTCAAAATAATAAATTGATAACAACAACATAGTTTACTTTGATCCATACAAAATGAATAACATTGTTGTTTATTAAACCTTTGTACTCGAAAGTTTTTTTCGCTCGATGTATTCATCATTTTCTAACGAAATATTAACCAAAAAGTACTGTAACATAGATAACAGAGTGGAAACAAATTCAGAGAAGTAACGTAGCACAATACTTAACTTGTTAGTTGTAAATATTACAACAATAACAGTGATCAAAATAATAAAATGATTTTTGCAGTTATATTCGTAACATTGGACCCAATAAGTAAAAGTGCCATGCCGCTTATATGGTGGCATTGGTTCATTAAGGGTTACTAATATTCATTGCACCTAATATAAATATAAATAATACAAGAATCAATGGTTATAACTATTCTATTTTAACATTTCACATACAATCATATTACATTAATATTCACATTGAATATCAAATTTTATAATTTTCCTATATGAAATGGCAACTGTGTATCGCCAACGGAGAGCAAAGGGTTAAATTAATCTAGAAATCTTCGTCGCGAGTTTCACTAGTCATTGTAGAGCAACGAGTTAATTAACTGTAAAAACCGCAGATTATCAGAAGAAGTCATCAGTGCGTTCATGATCACGCTGTGGAACCACAATCGGTGGAACGAGACTGCCGCGAGTCGTCGGGACACGAAAAATGCGAAATTTTCCACCTGACCACGTGCACGAGGCCATGGACAACAGATGGTTCCGACACTTTTGCATATACGACGGGATGCCCATAAAATCTGTTATGCATGCGCGTCACCTACCCTCGGCCTTCAAAATGACGCGCCAATAAAAATATTCGATACGCGAACGATTCCAGCCAGCCACGGTATGGCGCACTTTTTCGCCGGCAAATAACGCTGATTAGTTACGGGTCGTTGCGCCTGACTCCAGTACATTGATCGAGTCTAATTTTTTTTCATTTGAATGGTGTTAAACGAATCGTGATATAGAGATCTGTTCGTGTAACACGAAAAATTAATACTATGCCGGTGCTATGGCTGTTATTTTATTGTTACGTATAAGACGAAGAAACATTATTGAGTATAGAAAAAAGGAATAAGTAATAAGAAGCCAAGGTTACGAAAAGTTTTATTGTTTTTGTAATCTACATAATAATGCATGTGCATTTTTAATGTATGATTCTAGAAGATCAGTATGATTCAAGAAATGATTTAACTTCATTAACTTTAGAAGAGGTTCTCATATAAAATATAAAATAAGCTTTATAAAATTCTTAATACATTACTACATTACATAATAAAATGATCTCGATTCATTGGTTTTTTACTTCATTGACTAAAATATGTATAATTTTACCGTAAACACATGTTTACTGTTATATAATTATTTACCTTGTAAACTGAGGATTCTGTCTATGTTTTGCAATAATTAAATTTTTATTTCTCGGGTGTAGATGTAGGAATATCAACCACATTTTGTGCTAACTCGTAAACACATTTGTTTAGATTATAAAACATTGTCGAATGTTTCAAATAGAATTAAAACATTACACTTATTATATTATAATAAACAGTAATAGTGAAATGTGACAAAATGTCTTTTTCGCACATTAAAAAAAATGTGTTAAGAAATACATTATTAAACATCAAATAACTATTTAAAATAATCTGAATTAGTGAACTGTCACGCGTAAATTACAATAAAAACATCTTAAGTAAACCATATAAAATACAATGAAACTAGAAATATAAATAAATAAATAAATAACAATTCTTTACAAACCATTGCGTTAATACCATCAATTTACACATAAAAATCCCATAAAAAAGCTTACTCCTGCCAAACAAATAATTTTAAAAATGAATTCAAAACAAAAGCAGGCAAACACTTCATCAAATTCACCCGACAGTATCGTCTACCGCTTCTCTTCCCTAAGAAAAATGCCAAAAAAGAATTCAAAGTCTTCATTTTTCGCGGCGAGATAGAAGGCAAGCCCCTTAACCCGATCGGAGTTCGCAGCAACCAGGAGAAAATCGCGAGCTCTCGTGTTCCGCGTATCAAAGCGGAGCCGGGGAGGAGGGAGTTTTCATCTGGAAGGTGAAAGGGGAGCAAGACGCAACGACAAAGAGGATACGTGCCATCTGACGCGACCGAGAAAAACAAAGACGCATATTGAAAAGCGTATCGGCTGATGGTGGTAGACGTATCTATACGTCTACTTATATACGTCGACCTATACCCTCTTCCCCCGCCGCCGACTTATTTGGTCGGTGTGGATGGGCGCACGCGAATCACTGAGGGACGAGAGAGAAAAAAAGTATACGCGACTGATCTCGACTAAGATTATAAAATGGCGACCCTCACCTCCACCCACAAGCCCCTTGCACGGCTGTTCTTAATTTCGCCTCGGATCCTTTTGTGCCCCTCCTACGCAGCCTCGTTTCTACGCTTCTTCTACTTGTTCTCCTCCTTTTTTTTCTTCTTTTCGCCCGCTGCCCATCCCCTTACTCAGTCCAGTCCGCCCACCCACGCCACCCACAGACCAGCCGCCTACTTTCTTTGCCTTTCCGCGACGCTTGCTTTCACAATCGACACGGCTCCGTAGACGTTGCCAAAGGAACTCGCCAAGGAGCGCGGGAGAGAATTCTTTTACGTGACGATTCTGATGAATAGAACCGTAGCCGTAGGCACTGGAAATGGATGCTCGAAAGCAGTGCCCGGTGATCGACGAAGACGAAGGAGAAATAAAAACAAGAAGCCGAGCGAGGTTGCTTGTAATTTTTTTTCCTCGCAATGCGAAAGAAAATGGTTTCTTTTTTCGTTTTTAGTAATACGAAGGGATTCGATGAAATGATTCTTGCTGCGGGTTTATTTTTATGTTGGAAATGTGAATAGGTATATTATATTTGTTATTGTTTCTTATTCGACGAAACGGTTAATGAACGAGAAAAAACTTCTGTTAATGGGCGTCGTGTTTGAATACACCTGAATATGAAATGAAGATAATCTTGAAGTACAAAAATGTTTTAACGAGTAGAGCAGAATGGAGGGAATAGAAGTTATAAGACGAACATGTATGAAGTTTCAGTTATATTGACTCTTCATACTCAGCCTTTGTACGTAGATAGTGTACCATTAGAAAATTTGGAAAAAATTATATTCACGTTGAAACATAAGTTTAAAAGAAATAAATGAATCAATAGAATGTAATTGGAAAAAAATTAAACAAAATGAGGAACAATGAAAATGTTTATGGACGTATTAAAAAAATTACTTAATATCTATAAATATGATCTTTGAATTTTAATATAACTGAAATTAAATGCAAGGATACATAACTGCGTATAACTCATAAAATTAGTACTTAAAACTCGTAAAGTAAAGTAGAATTGAAAATAATGTTAATAGTACGTAGTGATCCAATTGTACAATATCCGTTTGCATACAGATATTGTAAATGTATAAAACATGTAACATACAATTATAAGTGTACTAAGTTATATTGGTAGAAATGGTTGTTGAAACAGCAGGGTAGTAAACTCAATTCGTGTCTCGTTAAATATGATTTACATACATATATGAGCGTAGCATAAAATTAAACACATAAAATAAAACGAATATCAAGAGAATAAATCCAACCAAATAACTGTTATTAACATACCACAAAAATAACACAAAAAATATTGATAATTCCAAAGTTTTAAAACAATTTCCCTGTAATTCCCAAATAATCTCAAATAAACAGCAAATAACGCGATTATCATAAATTCATCTAGGGTAGACCGAGGCGAATCGGATCAGTACAAAGTTATCAACGAAATACTAATAATTAAAGCTCAGAACCAACATTTTTTTCATAAATCTCTCGTCAATACACATTCAGCTTTGATATCAGAAAAAAAATTGTTTAAAACTTAAAAATTTTCGTTCTGTAAGCAAAAAGCCGAACAACTATAAATATCCGATTCGCCCCCAAGTTCCCAAACGATAAAAAATTCTCATTATCCAAGATGAATTGGATTAAATCTAGGGAACGTGTATAAAGTAATATGAAAGGTCAGCATGCTCATATCTATAATAACGCGAACAAATACGGCCAATATTCTTATTTTTATCCGATTCGCCTCAGTTTATACTACATCAACATGAAAATAAATTTAAACAAGTCACGAGGAAAACATACGCACATGGTCAATCAGGGCTAAAGATCGGCTCCATCTTTCTGGAAGCTTCACTCTCTCACCCAACGCACATCATCACCGTGTCAACGGCGCATCACCAGCACTCTCGATAGAGTATCAGCTAGGAAGAGCATCGGTTATTCGAAAGCCGCTTGGCAGTGCGTCTGTCGCCATATTGGGGGCGGTCGGGCTTCCCTCCAATCGGCACATAGGCGTCAGAAGCGTGGGTGCGGACCACACCCAATAACTCTGACGTATTCCCCACCACGAACCCGCCACACCCACGGATGACACGTGCGCACGAGCAGCTGCAATATCGTTGGAACAGTCCTCCGCGAACCCTCGTTCCGGTCACTTCGATATCTTATGTACGGTCTGTCATTGGAAGTCTGAATTCACTCGTATAAATACCTTAAACTCGCGTTCTTTCAAAAAGAACTTGACGTACGTGAATGTCCTAAATAATTCAACTGATAAACCATTTTAAATTTATGCTTTAACCGATCGATGCTCAAGGATTACGCTCCAGAAAGATTGGTGACAGTAGCAGTCAGTGAAAGTAACCGGATTGGATTAATTTAAGACAGATGAAGTTCATTGATGAAAAGTTAACGCGGCCCATTTGGATTGGAAAGTCCAAAGGACAAGATCTTGAAAGAAAGTGACAATGATCAGAACGAGATCATTAAATACCTTGATATCCCAGGAAGAAAGAGATTGTTGACTCGAGGTTTATTACTGTTAATTGTAGTTGATGTTTAAACGGTTTTGGATCCGTGAAGGATACATGAACAGTGGAACCTGCAGTGCAAATGTGAAGAAAAGTGAAAGGGATAGTGGAATAAATAAGTAGAGAATGTTAGCATTCCGAGGTAGAATGCAGGAAGGAGTACTGTTACGGTAACAGTTGTGATTATAATTTATAAGCAAGGACTCAACAGTATATTAGAAAGGAAGAGTTTCAATGAGAATTTTACGTGAAGAACAAATAGTCCATAAAAGTATTGTATTTGAACAACAACAAATAGAAATCGCCTGAAATTATAGGGTTGTCAGCTGTCAAATGTGGTGTGCTGCTATGGTTTGTAACAGCTGAGCTAACATATACATGGACACTATAATTATATAACTAACGCTGATTTCTTCGAAATGACAAGACAGTGATACATTGAAGTTTCATAGAAAAAACGCAATCATGACTATGATAAGCCTGGAAATGCTGGGCCGCGAGGCTATACCCCTGGAAGGAATGTATCGGCGCGCCCGTCAAGATGTCTTGACACCGCCGCACGACAGTTTGGAGTCACAAAACGTCCGAAGGAATAGCAGTAACCCCGGAAATCCAGCCAACATTTCCAGTTTCGACGACGCTGCGCACAACGAAATGCATCCTCTCGATCAAAGGGCCGTCGATCTCGGTTTACCGGCTCATATACCTGAGATCCTCTATTGTAAGTGACACATCAATCTCGTTAGCCATCTTGATAAAATCACTCTCTTCAGAATAAATACTTTACTGTGTCAAATGCAGTGGCATAAATGTCTGTTCAGTGTTCGTAGTTTGGCATCGGGAAGCTATGAAACGTATGCTACCGGCCGAAATGTGAATTAATGGAAGTAAATAGGAAGTAAATAAAATCCTATGTATTTTCTAGTGAACAGACTAGAAATAATTGAAGTTTATTTATACTAGTTACTAAAAATAATTGGACTAACTAGTTGGTTTAAGAGAAAACTGATGCATGGAACTTTTGATAGTGTAGGTATACAGTTTGACCGTAGGATACTGTCAACATTTTAGCAACCTGAGAGTTACAATCTTCTAATTATACAAAGCTACAGATTAATTTTTGTTAGGTGCTATTGAACATCTAAAATTGTGTTTACTTAGGGTACTTGTACATATAAAGGACATATTAAGGATTATAATCGAATAAAGGTTAAATGAAAAATTAGGAATTGAGATTAATATAGATACCCACTAATTAATTGTTTCGTGATATGTTCCACCGATTAGAAATGTAAGATCAGGATAACCAGTTTTATACAAATTTCATAATAGTAATGAAATCAGTGGGTGTGTACATTACTTTTATAAGTTTTCATGCTATTCAATTTTTATTATATTTTTGTACAATAATGTACCTATATCGTGGATTATAATTTAAAATCACTGCAAAACTGTTGAATACTTAAAGAAGAATGACGTTGAACCGAATATGTTAACCACAAGATATACAACTTTAAAAAAGGAATAGTAATCCTACTAATAACGACTTGGTAAACGAATCTTCGAAAAATGCAATTTGAGGTTTAATAAATTTGTAAAATCAACGATAGTAGAGTAATTATTTAAGTTGGCACCATTCCTGTGATCATCTGATTCAAGTCTAATACTACTTTTTACAATAGGACTTTGATGTAATCTCTTTGTGATCTAACGTTTTTTGATCTAATCTTTTTTTATTTTTTATCGCCACTTTGTTTATTTATCATTTTTCCCTAGTTGTGTTCTCATCGTTTTAAAGGCACTTTAAATTTGAAGATAATCGAAAGAAATCATTTCAAATGTGTGTTTCTACCATTTTAGTACCATTTCAAATGTACACATTAAAAAAGCTATAACATAATACGTAATGTAAGGAGTGAATAGGATTCATGCTCAATAATTTTCATCGCGCTCTGAATTTTATATCGCGTATTGGAAGAGACATAAAGCTTTTGTTTGTCAACTTCATACCCTAATCTAAGTTGTGTTTTCATTAACAGAAAATTTTGATTGACGAGTAAAGCAAATTTAGTATGAGTGTTGCATAGTTACGAAAACTTCATTTAGGAAGGAAATCCTTCACTTATATCAAAAATATCATAAATAAAAATATTACTAATTAAACTTATTTCTGTATCCAATAACTGGAGATAAACATGAAGTTCATTATGTGATAATAATAATTAATAACTTTTGCTACAGCATAGTCTTATAAACTTGATTAATTTCTTTCATTTAGAAATGATTTATTATTACAAAATTGAAAGTTCTTTATACATAATGTTAAATTTTCTAAGTTCTATCAATTTATATTTGAAGCATGCCAATTATCTGTATTTTAAAATTCGCGCATTGACTGAATAAACCATTGGACAGTAAAATTTTAATTCGCTTTATATTATTAAGGTACGTAATGACATTTTCTATAATCATGTATAATCTTTGTGACTGTTATAGCTTCAATACCGAAGTGCGGTGGTTGTCAAGAAGCAATCTTGGACAAATACGTTCTAAGGGTTCTCGAGAGGTGTTGGCATGCGAGGTGCCTCACGTGTCGAGATTGCGGCGCCAGGTTGACCGACAAGTGTTTCGCGAGGAACGGCCATGTCTTCTGTAAAGATGATTTCTTCAAGTAAGTACCAATAGTTATTTCTATTCGCGCACTCGTGATCTGTCCTGACACATGGATCTGTACTGAAACGTAAGGTGAATTCCCGGAGAAATGATCTTCCGGGTGAAAAGGCCCGACCTCGTTTACATCGTTAAGTATGTATCTACAGCTTCAAGTGTTTTTAGTGATATACTGAATTTTGCACAAAGCCCTATTTAACTATTCTTCTTGTATGTATTACTAACTTTGATAAATGTATTGGATTGATACAAATATTTTGTCGGTTTTTGTACGTGGTTAACAAACAAATTATTTTCTTTGAAACAAGTAATATCTGTTTTCAAACTATTAAAACAATTGAGAACTCTTCTTTTTATATCTTATAAAAAAGACGTCAAAACTTTTGCATCAACCCAATAGTTCCTTTCTGTTAGGTGTTAATGACATTTATAGTGTAACAGTTCTTTATAAAAAATGGACTATCTCTCTCGAATTACCCTATATTTATCTTATAATATTCGTTACTGAGAACTAGAGAACGACGTTTTAACACGTTAGTTACCAATGTCACACATTTGCGACAACCGCAATTCAATTGATACTGTATAATTAATACTGTAGACATTGTTATTAATAATATTGTATCTAAGAACTTAATAACTATTTTCAATTTCATTCCTTCAATACTTTATTTGAAAGGTATGTTGGATTTAATAGAATGTTTCAACTAAAAAGAGATCATCTTCCAAACAAATGGTGGTAGCGAATATGTTAATACAAATCCATGAATAAGGAGTATCACGATAACGTGCGGAGATATAATGGTAAAAATGCATGATCGAAAGAATATAATCATTAAGGTCATTAAATTAGGGTTTTAAAATGGTATAAGAATAGGGAACAAACAATGTAGGTTTCTATATAAAAAAGGAAATACGACCTTGAAATCCCGAAAAAATAACCTAGAAAAACACATTTTTCACTAACAGAAAATATGCTGCTTCGAATAATATAACTTTATTTTCTGTAGATTTTTTCTAACGCCAAAAATAACGGATGTTAATCAGGTGTCCCGTTTTAAATAACTCACTCTGCATATATAAAAACCATATACGTGTATTTGTAAGATAACTTGCATACGTATACAAGCGCAACAACGTCATACAAGATAATAAAGCAATAAGTATACAATTTAAACCATATATCAATTATTAAAATGATAATTAAAGCTTCACGTAACATTTAATTACAAAATAAGATTAAAATTGCCTTTTAATACAACTTTTCAAAATGTCCACAATGTTATTAGTAATCGTAATTAGTAAAATTCATTTAAAAATTAATTCCATGCAACTTACCGTAAATTCGACTCAAAAGAACTCACTTTTTTGAATGCTAAAAATGTAACAAACTTGCTGCACATATAAGTCTATGTACAATTTAAACTTAAGATTCCAGTAGTAACGCAAGCGGCTCGGTTACTTGTAACGGTTCCTCTTCGCGTATTATAATCTCGTTAGTTACGGGATAGTGAAGATGTTATATAATATCAGTGACGACTCGGGCATAGAGTTTTTTTTTGTAAATGCTATCTAAACAGATAACGAGAAAGCATAAACGTTTATCAACGGATGCTTATCGGTCGCGAAAAAATGCAACCCGGATAAGGGAAACAGGGCATTGTTCGTCCGTAGATGATGAAAAGCTGAAACCGAAGCAAAAGTTAGATCAAACGGTGCATGCATGTGTATCCGGCATTGGTATTGATTGTGTCAGAAGAGCGTGCCTTTTCTCATCCACCCACACCTCTGGAACCACGAGACGCCATTTTTCTTCTTCTGTTAGCCGAATCGAAGGAACTCGCTTCCCTTCCTCCGTCGTCTTACCCTTCTCCAAGAGTACTCGCCCTTTTCTCGGGATCGAAATCTCCTTGGAAGCGAAAGAACCGCCTTTACAACGCAATTCGCGCGTTTAGAAACTGTGGAAAGATAAGTTCAGTTTGATGAATGACTTGTTTATTAGATATAACGTGAAACGCGAGAGAGGTTTAATTATTTATTAGGCGATATAGGTTGTACCTCTTCACTTTCCTTCGACACTGGAAAATAGGAATTTCCTTTTGGAAACAGATGTCTGAATTTGTTATTTGATCGAGGTAAATTGTGTGACAGAATCGAAATTCTTACACTTGAATTAGATTACTTATTTACTACATCTCACCATAGAAATTAAATATTTTATGGCGTTCATTATTATGTTTCTTTATAATTTATATCGTAGGATAAACATGATTATTATCATTAACAGAAAAAGTAACCAGGAGACAAAATATTTCTAACATTTAATTTATGTCTAAACAAATATAGGCACAGATATTGTCATTTTTATAGAATCTAACTGTAGTTTAATAAATAAATAAGTGTCCATGAAATAATAACTTTTGTTCATAGTCTTTATTTATGAAAGCTTATTATTATAGGTGAAATAAAATCACAAACTATATTTTTGTCTAATTATAATTTTGTCCTGCTCAAGTTTTGCTTATAAAATACACCTATAAAATATAAATAAACTTTTAAAATAACTTACGCCTTAAGTTCCATATAGTCATACCAGTTTCCTTAATAAGTCTGTTAAATTGTATATTCTAAGATGTTTATGTTAACTTTGGAAAGCCTATAAAATAAAAGAATATTCTCCATTAGACACTTTTTTTAATTTAAAAAGCGTATGCTGCCGCGAACATTCATCGGTATAATGCCCTCTTTTCTCAAAATAGTATCACCATAAATACGACGACACGTTGCTGTTATTAATGCGCGAACGTAATGTGAAAATGTTGTATGTTGTTGGTGTGGCAGGCGTTTCGGGACGAAATGCGCGGGCTGCGGCCAAGGATTGGCACCGTCGCAAGTTGTACGAAGGGCACAAGAGTCGGTCTACCACCTGACATGCTTCTCGTGCGCCCTTTGTTCCCGGCAACTGGACACAGGCGACGAATATTACCTTATGGAGGACAGGAAGCTCGTTTGCAAGCCTGATTACGAACAAGCGAAGGCGAAAGGTAATTAAATAGTGTAACGATGAGATCACGTTATAAACAGATTTCAGATTTTTATATATTTATAATTTGAATAAATCACTAAAACGCAAACAAAAGAAAAACATCTACATGTTAACTCTGGGACAGAGGTACTTAAATCTATTTTGCCACAGATTTTCAAAGATTTCATTTATCTTCTTACCATTCTTATAGCTAACTTCATTCTTTATTGCCCTAACTTCTTTCCGTGGCTCTAACAAAGTTGATATGACATAAAATTAACAAATATCAATGTTATTAAATGTTATAATAAATATTAAAGTTACTAAACGTTATATTAACAAATATCAATGTTATAAATATACTGTGTAAATCTGAAGTTACATCGATGTAAAACGTTTATCTTTGTTTGTATAGAAGCTTAAGTTAATTAATTACTTAATTTCATTCGTCACTTTGCAGTAAAAAATTAAATAATTCAACAAGATGTCGATATGTAAGTATGTCTATTCAAAGTCACGCGGACCTATAGGGGGTGAAATTGTCAATTAATTATATTAGAAATAATAAGAAGTCCAATATCAACATTTCATTTCATACAAGTACTTTTGAAAATATACGGGCAGAAAAATTGACAAGAAAAAATTTCAATTGTCACAGGCATCACCCCCTATGAAGCTCCTAGAAACGTCCACTCCCAGAAGGTTAATAAAAAGAGACGAAAAATATATGCAGTGACCATAATGAGGTTCGAATTTGAAAATATTTCACTTTCATACCTGTTACATAATGATAAAAAGTATCACAGAAAAGATGGATGATGGATTCTGAAAGTAAAGGCTTCGCGATTTAAAATGGTCCCTGGCAGAGTATCGTACGACGTTGCGTTATAAAGTTATGACACTTTGAATATCATACATTTTTTAAACGAAAATTCAGTAATTCTTTAGTTTTACACTACAAATTATAAACATAATTATAAACATAGTGTGAATCGCTTTTAAAAAGGTTGGATACAGTGCACAAAATGGAATAAATAGGCACAAGAAGATTACACTTGTTGAGGACCACAGAAATTTTATTGCCTTATAGATTATTATTGTCAATTTAGATTAGAGGCAGTATTAGGTGTTTAGTCCATGGTTTCGTTTAATTATTAATTTAAGGGTTCAAATAGAATTTTTTAATTTAATTTTTGCTATTTCTTGTTCAGTATGGAAGCATTTAATAAGTGTCCCTTCAATTTCTCTATGTATTTCCTAAATTACAAAGTTATAGGTACTCTATCCTTAAGTATACGATTCTGTACTGACTTTCCCTACATTTTAATATGATTACGACAAATTAGTTTCTTCAAAGTACAGTCTTATGAAATTATATCCAGATAATGCTTATACAATAGGTTATACACGCATATTTATTATTTATAAATATATAAATTTCTGCAATTGTACGTAATAATTAAAACATGTTTGCTGTTTCGATTCACAGAACTGGCCGATGGTGGCAGTATAGACGGCGACCAACCGAACAAGAGGCCGAGAACAACGATCACCGCGAAACAACTGGAGACCCTCAAATTAGCGTACAATACCAGTCCGAAACCAGCGAGACATGTTCGAGAACAACTCTCTCAGGATACTGGGCTCGACATGCGTGTGGTTCAAGTCTGGTTCCAAAACAGGTATGGTTAGTCACATTTATTTATTATTAGACTGCAGACCTTCATGCATTGATGGAAAATTTGGAACTGCAGAATTGCAGCTCGCAAGAAAAAAATGTATAAAATATCAAAAATCCAGTGATTTTTATTATGTTCCTTAGGAAAAACCATTTTCTATCGTAATTTTATTATAAATTCGCAGTCCAATTATTATTCATATTTTGAATTTCCTGTACGTTAATATCTGTTGAATTTAGAAAACACATCGATATGTGAATAAGTATGATTAACATTGTTAAATGTTTGGTTAAAATAATTCAAAAACATTGTAAAGATCACATAATATAGTAAAGGATAGATTTACTGCTATTTCTATTTTGTGGATGAAGGTTTACAAAGATTGCTTGAAAACTTTATTATTTTCATAATATAATTTTTTTTGGGATAGATTAAATACAGGTTTTAATTGATCACATTCTTTTTATATTTTGAAACATATTCAGACAAATAAGGAAACTGTACATGTGGAAATAGTTACATATACAGTATCCTAGGAAATCTTTTAACAGGGAAGTGTTCATACTTCAATAGTTCTATAACTTTTATTCAGTACTTATATTTTGATAAGTTTGACCGATTAAATGAATATCGTCCTTTGAATTGAGCCATCGGGGTGCTTTAAATACTACATAAAGATACCATATAAAAGTCTTCTCGACATGAAGGCTGAAGTCATATACAGCAACTGTCTAATCAAATAGCCTCGGATGAACACAGCATGAAGAACTCTTATTTCATTTTTTATTCATAAAATATCAATCATCTTTACATACTCCACGAGTTACACAAAAATTTGAAAATGTCGCATAAACAATTATTTTCATTTTTCTATTTTTTATATCTTCTTTATTCAATTTTTTCGGTTTTCAAAAAACATTGACAAAAAATTAACTAACATTTGCATATAATACAATACAATCACAAAAACTTTTTTTTGTGATATAAACATTTCGTTGAAATTTGTTGAAATTTGTTGAATATTAATTCCAAATACGTAATTCAGAAAAATTTGAAAAGTTTCAAAATTTTTATCAATGTATATTAATCATTGTAAAAGACACTATTTGAAATTTGCTATCTAGACGGTCATTTTAGGAAAATATACCAATAATTAATTACACTCAAGTAATTTTTCCTCATGAAAATAACTACAGAATAAGATTATTATACAACAAACATCCATAATCTCCATACATTTTTCTTATTGAAAACCATGTATTTTTAATTCACATCTCAATAAATTGAATAGGTATATAACCTATGAGTCACTAATAATATTTATAAAAACAAAATTTATTAACAGCGATTCGAAGAAGTCGTTTCCCACGTTTTCTTTTTGAGTCATTCAACTATGTCAAACGATTTTTACACAACTATATAGTAAGATATTTATTGGCTGACAAGATTTTTAACCACATCATCAGTTATCAGTATACATATTGAGAAAGTAGCGTTAGAAAATACGTACATTGTAATAAACGTCACTAGAAAAAATCGTTTTATCGGTACCACAAGATGTCTACCTAATCAGTTTCTAAAGGCTTATTCTTTGTCGATTTCACGATTTACGTGTGTGACGATAGATTTTGAAAAGGGCTCATGTTATCGGAGGATCTGTCATCGATACGCGTCGATAAAGTAAAGAAAAAATGATAAAAATATACACGTGTTGCAAATTTTTTCGTAAAGACACTTAAAACAGCTTTCCCTGACAGTTCTCAACGCAACCTGAATCATTTAAAAATATAATATGTGAAGATAAAATTGATACTCTGTTGTAGATTTCTCGACCGCGATTATCTGTGCAACTCCTCGAGATATACAAATATTTCGCAAATAGAAGGAATACACTTTATTGCCAAGTTTATGGTCATATTTCTAAGGAAATTTATTGCTTCATGAAACTACTTGTTCAACGATTTCAAGTGTTCTCTTTAAGATCTTCAAATGTAAATTTCATAGAGTTTCATGTGTTTTTAACCGTCTTCAAAACAAAGGCACGACAATAGAATCGCGTCGACGACAATTGAAATTATAAAAGCGGTTTAATGACAAAGACGTGGATAGAGAAAATCAATGGAGAATGCTGAAACGGGACAAAAGTCCCATTTTATTGCAACCACGCGTATTATTTATCTGCAATACAATACTATGTGTTGCTTTATGTATCGTATACACTTTTATCGATAAATTACTTCAAGCAAGTATTACTACATCCTAATAGTTCAAGGGAAATATCTTCTAGAAGAACAACAGATGTTCAATTGATAAAGTTAACCATTTACATATTACAATTACAAGTCGTAATTATTACATATTACAGTAATAATTATGACAGCTCGATTATAAATTTTCATGTATCCACTCATGATAGATTACAAATATTATTTGTAACGCTTTTTTTATTAAACTTAGAACAAACTTGATGGTTTGATTTTTCACAAAATGTTAATGCTATTTTTATCAATAAAACTCTGGGAAGATAATATACAATGATACATAGATGCTTATATGCTTGCACATTTTTCAAAAATTATCGAGATAATATCGATTTCTATATTTTTTTCATTCAGATGAAAGTAAAAAGTCATTAATATAATTATAATTGTTTACAGGAGAGCAAAGGAGAAGAGACTGAAGAAGGATGCGGGCAGAACGAGATGGTCCCAATACTTCCGGAATATGAAGGGAACGGGAGCTGGTGGACACTCACCGAGGCACGATAAGCTCCTTGATAAAGACGAACTAAAAGTCGATCTTGATTCCACGTTTGGACATCACGGTATGTACTTGTACTGACTTCTAAAAATGTTTAGAATGTGAAGTGTGATGTGTAGTAGATACATTAAATTTTATTTTTACATGATAGATAAGGTTAAGTCGAGGAGATACAGTCCACTCTTTTTGAAAGAATTGATATATCATAAATGCTATTGATACCTAACAAAACAAAATTATTTATGAAAGTAAATAATATATACGAAGAATAGTTACATAAATATGTTTTTTCCAAGGTTCAGTATACAACTAAAAACAATTGAAAATACAGATATTTGTCAATTTAAACAAATTAAAACAAAAATACTGTACCTATAGAAAGATATAGATTGGCTCCAGATCTAAGAAATCAACAGAGTAACATAATAAATCGTGTGAAAATTCATGTTAGAATTTGGGTGATTATGCTAAATCAAATTAGATTTTACAAAAAGAAAATAATTTTTTTTCTAATTTATGTTAAATCAAACGAATCGTGTAAAAAGAGAAAAATGATTCACGTTAAATCTAAATCGTGTAAAAATAAAATTGGGAGTACATCTTTTTATGTTTATAGAATGTTTAAATTTTTTAAATGTAAAATATCATTAGGTATGTATACGAATAAACGTTTATATTATTTTTGATTACATTTGATTAGTATCTGATCCTAATGGATTTCAGTATAAATTACTACTGTAACTGTTCGTGTATGTGATACAATGTACGTTATGTATTATATAACACAATTGATATTGCTCATCTTCAGATTAATATTGAAGTGCCGTGTACCAAACGATGACTGGAAACTAATTCGACTGTATTTGAATAAATCCTTGATTTAAATCGGTTCAGAACAATAAGAAACAAAATTAAATCTTATCTTTGAAGAAACAGTTGTTTTTATAAAAAATTCTTATGATAGTACTACATTAGCCATTAAAAAACTTATAAATAGGAAGAATTTCCTTCAGAATTGTAAAGATAAAACGCTAAATTCAATTTTTAAGGATGCAAATACATATAACAACTATAATACAAATATACAAGTAAAACAGTAGAATGTATGCCTATAATTCATACCATCAAAATGGAAGTATCTAAACATATGAGAAGAAAGCCAAATTATACAGTAAAGGTTTTTTAAAATTGAATGAAAATTATTTGAAAAATTATGGACCCTAAAGAGTTAATAAAAATTAAACATTCTTTTTGCTCGTTATAAACGTATCCACATTCATATATGTATTTGGCTATTCCATTGAGATTAATTCAATTTTTTCGTCGGCACATATGAATCTACGATCTGCGAAGCTACATAGTACATCTATATCAACCAGTGTCCATAATGGTTCCGTATTCAAAAAATCATTCTGCATTGTCAGATGTAGCACTGAAAAGCGACCAATAACGCGTTATTTGTGCTTCCAATATCACGAAATGTACGCAGCCTCCCCTCTGTATGCGCAAGCATTCCCTTCAATTCGTGAAACGAGAAAATGTGAAAAGCACGGTAAAGGATCCTCGAATATTTTCACATAGCAAACATTTTGTTATAAAGAAATACGGTTCTGTTGTATGTTACAAAGAAATTTTGGAAATATTAAACGAACTCGTGTATATTTAGTACATATGCTACATCTAATCATATTTTCTAATATGCTATTAATCAGAATGAAGAAAGTTGTGCATAAATTGTACAATAACAGAAATATCACAGTAGTTATGTAATTATGAATGGTCGTTTGATTTAAATTTCAACGTTTCTAAAAATTAATAATAAATAAGATACATTGAGATAGTCTTTTTGAAAAAAATAATCGTGAATAATTATAAAATATCATAGGTATATGTTTTTTGATAAAATATGAATTTATTTCGGAGAAGTATCTATTCCAATTGTAATTTTTAAGTACACCATTTTTAAAGTATATGTAATTCATAAGGAGAACACAAAAAAAGAGTTCGGTAGTTTGAAGAATTGTTTTCTCTCTTTTTTGGTTTCACTTTAATGCCGGTTACATCTAAGCTTTCGTGTACCGAAGCGTTTAACAGAGGGGAAGACGATCTCGTCAATTATTCAAGAGTTCGTGGAGGCTAACTGCCAGTTCACCATGTCCGAGATTTCAGGAAGATTGCGGGCCATCCTTGAATTTATGCCTATCGTTATCCATACGCGCCATAAAGCCATGCAAACTTCCAACGTTGTTTAAATTTTAATTTCCCCCGGCAACAGACAGGTTCGATAATTTGTAGAGAATTAAAACCCCACGTTTGATTTAGTTTTCAACTAGTTATCCATAATACTGATAGCATTGAAAGATGGCATCATTATAACATAATGTTCAATGCAATATTAATTAACTTTCTCCTCCTGAAAAATTTGATGTTTTGTATTTACAATCTTTTTTACAAATATTCTTCAATTACTGATTCAAAATATTTTGTCTTCCGAAAAACGAAAGTTCAGTTGCTACAATAAATACAATTTGGATAATGTATTAATTCAATAATACTGTTATGTAAGATCTGTTTCAAATTGTTGAAATATATTGTTACAATTGGTACATATATTAGGCTTGAAACTTTTATTATAATGTACATTTATTACTGGCCAATATTATAGTATCTATAACTTTGTAATAAATATATTATAATATTATCGCAACATTGTAGACAACAGTGAATTAATTGCGCGAATATTTTCATTTAGATTTGAGTAACGATAGTTACGGTACGGTGGTGAACATGGGATTAGATGGTGAAGGCGCAAGTCCAGGTGGGGGTGGAAATGGAGCAGGCGGAGGTCCTCCGCGCGGATATTTAGGTGCAACGACTCCTCCTTATCTCTCATCGTCCAGATCACCGTCCTTACCACCTCAGTTTCCATATCCACCGGACGCTGGTCTCTCTGTCTACACTACACTTGGTGAGTGACCATTTTGTATTAAGACTGTTAATGTATTATTAACCCTTTGCACTCGAGAGGCGACTCAATCGCCACTTGATTGGGTACAGCAAAATTATAAAGTTTGATATTTAATATTAAGCTTTGTATAATCAATATGAGAAATATGGAAATAAAGTAGCTTTATTCCTTAATTTATAAATGATTTTTCACTAAGTATCAAAAAATACTATCAATACCTCATCAGAAAATGTTAAATATTTATAGTGAAAAACAGTTCAGTGCAAAGGATTAAAACTAGAGTAGAAGGATTGGAAATAATAATACACGAGAACCATAATGATAAACATGTCGTATTAAAAAATACCTAATAAACACAGCAAAGATAGATTTAAATAAAAATTTTATCTACCTTGAAATCATATTAGATATTAATACAACTTAAATACAATACAACTCCTGCTACTATAAATAAAAGATAGGCATCGAGATATTTTTACATTATCCACAAAAAATATAAAATGTATCAGTCATATTAGACTCCACTAAATAATTTACATTTATGCAATACACTATGGTCTCAAGTAATAAGTCACCTCTTCAAACAGATTCGCGAACAAAAACCAAAATTAAAGTACAAACGACAACAAAAATGTATTTACCATACAAATACCAACATACAAAAAAGAAAAGAATCCCACATATAGATCAGCAACAAATGATCTTCGCACAATGCACTAGGAAACCATACCGTTCGAATGAAATATCACTTGCGACCCTCTGCGGCCAATCTTCCTTAGGATACCTTTTAGAAGGACAAAGGACCATTCTATTCGACGATATATCTTCCAGGTGGCGCGGGCAGCATGGTACCGGGACCGGCGTCCGATTTGAGCAACGAATCAAGCGGAGGCGGCGGAGGCGGCGGCGGAGGTGGCGGAGGTGGTTACCCAGACTTTCCGCCTTCGCCCGATTCATGGCTCGGTGAACCACCACCCCCGCACGCTCACCACCATTCCCACTACGGCACATAACCCGGCAGACGTACGCGTCGCCAAATACCGTTCGGAAGAACGGATCGGCACAAAGCGTTCACCTGACATCCCCTTCGACGAGGCAGGACTCAGTTGAGAGATTACCGAGAGCCCTCCATCACACAAGCTACGTCCTCCTTCGTCGAATCTACGACGTTAAATCCTCGGGCCCCGAGAGGATCTCGGTTGTTCTCGTTGAACTACCAGCAGATCTTCGGGCGGAAGTCAATCGAGGACGTCGATCGAAGACCGGCTCGAGCCAGGGAGTGATTTTACACCGTACTCTGCACCGTCCCGGCCGGTTTCCCGTCATCGGAACGATGCCATACGTCGATGTCACGCGACGTTGAACTACTCGTCCACCAGAGGGACAACACGATTTTTTAACCGATACAGACAGTTTGTTTTTTGAAAAGTTGCCATACGTTCGTCGATATTCTTTTTTATCGCTGGCAAGAACGGAAGCAAAGTATTAGGAATCACGATTTCTATGGAAGGAAACGGATCAGTGACCAATGAAAGTTATTCGAGTGATAACTTTAAAGGAGTTTATTTCATGTAGATCAATTATTTGCGAATGCAATAAGTAACGATTGACAAGTTAAATGCTCGTCGCTGTTCTTTTGGTGGGCTCGTAGATTCGCGTTTCTGCCGCGCGCACGACACGCATTCGATAGTACGATTAATCTAAATATATTTATGTACAAGTTCCTCGTTTCCCGGTACTATGGAGTTTAATCGTCGATTAAAGAAACCTAGAGGGTAGTTTAGGCGTGCCGCCAGCCGGATGTTCGTCGCAACCGACGCGTCCGAACGAATTGGAAGAACAGTCAACGATCATCAGCTTTTCGTACGGATACCGTTGATCCCGGTCGCTCCCATCGAAATGTTTCGATGAAACAGTGTGGAATCGAGGGCCAACTTTTAAGTTTCTCAAATGAATTCCGCCGATCGGATGTGAGAATTGCGGCCGTGCTTCAGACGAGATCGTTGCCACCGTAAACGTCAACAGGACACGTGTTTGTGGTTTACTGCGCTTATGTGACTCTACAAGTTTCAGGTGTCATTTATTGTAAATAGTTCAGATTAGATTCTATTGTACCCTAAATAAGAGAAGACATGGATGTGGATCAAGACAGATGGAGGATCGGCGTACAGTGATCTTCGCACAAGCGACGCCGTCCGCAAACGAAACTCAGCGTAGAAATGCGAGAACCCTGAAGCACTAATCGTTTTTTCTATCTAACCTTCGGAATATTCAGTGAACGAAATTTTTGGTAATTATACGAATAAGCGCATAGCTAGATTTCGATGATTTCTAGATATGTTGGGAACGTCATTTGAAGTAACTTTTTCCTATATATATAACACCTGCTCGGCCTTAATTCATCGAACATTCGAATTTCGCTTATATGTACAGTGAAGTTTGAATAACTGCAACATCATAAACCTCTTTATAATTTCAGTGTCATCATCCCTCCATGGTTTCATTTTAATTAAAAAAACATAACAAACACGATGGGTAATTTTATTCACCAGAAATAAAAAATAAGAAAGTTTAATTTTTGAGTGAAAAATGTCAAGTCCATCGCGAACCTTTAATGTTGCGGAACGCTTCGATTCCTAGTTTTTCTTTTCCCTTCAAAAGCGTTGTCCACCATGCTAAACCTTTTCAATTCTTGGAATCTTGGAATCAATTATCCAATGTTCACTGTACACGTCTTTGAGAGGGTATGGCATCACCATGTAGTGACTAGTCACCTGCTCTTTCCATAAACACATCGCGACGACCCATAAGTATAACGACTAAACTGATAAATAAAAGCTACGACGGTAACACCAATTTTTATCAAACTGATTTATCGTATAAAACTTATAAAACTTCCACGCTTATATTTTATAATGGTTAAAAACAGCCAAATTCAGAATGAAAGGATTTTTGGCAATTATCAAGTAAAAGCGTAGACCCCCCGTCCTCATATTAATCGCCATTATTTTTGTCAGAGTAGAAAGTTATACAAAACATAAATTTTTAAAAAACACCTGAATTTCATGAAAATTGGAGTTATCACCTTATAGTTCTTTGCGAATATCTCCAAAATAAGACCAAGCAAGAGTTACATGTGTAGGAAAAGGTTATTCACAATATATATGAAAATCATGAAAATCGGTGAGGTGCACGCGCATCCAGGTAATTACCATTTTTTGTTATATCCTTTGTTAATAAATTTCTTCAATAGTGTACAGAAGAACGATATTGGATTGGATTATAATATAAATTACCTTTTACGATAGTGAATATTCGATGTTATACTATGTTGAAATTTAGTGCTACAGAGTTGGCCAGCTTCGTGAATCGATTCCGGAATTCCCCTATTTTCACCATGAATCGCTGATTCAACTTTGGGATACGGAGGAATGAAGAAAAAATTCTTTCGCGTCGATCGGATGCCGATGCATTATACGGTGCTTTCATCTTAAATGGATTAGAGGATCGAAAGTCGAGATGCGATCTGCAATTGTAATCGAATGACAGTCGGGCGCGTAACTCGTTGGAACGGTGTCGTGTTTCATTACGGAATAATTGTTTCCGATCGATAGGCTGCTTCGAACGCTCGGTAAATGCAACGGCGCATGTGCGTGACAGTTAGAATTCGAACGTACAATCAATGACAAATGATTATTTGAAATTGTGCACAACTACATTTTAGCAACCCACCACTGCTCATCCAAAGATAAATTCCCCTCTCGAGATTTATTAGGCCGTTGCTCGGTTTTGCTAACACAATCGGATACGTTGAATAAACGAATAAAATGAAAGCTGTTGATTGATGTAAATTCTAATTTCTATTAGTCAGTGATTAACGTTGGTGAAGCTGAGCATCGGGTAATATCATGTTAGATGCGGTTTGCATCGTTTTTTTATCAATTCGTAACACTGAAAAGCATTTGTTGATTGGAACAGATCGGTCGATCGATCTGACCTGAGCGAGTGTTCGATTGCACAGTTAAAACTTTACGGAAAGTGGCATGAATTCCGTAGACATCTATGAAGCTATGTACAAAATGTAACATTTATATTCATTTATATTTCCCTCGATTATTATTCTGAACAATTCAGTTCTGTTTGATTGAACAAAGGTTCAACAAAGAAAGATTACATTTCTGTCCGTAAAGTATTAACAAATTTGTGTGATTAATGTCATAACGATGTCAATTGTACCCTCGTCTCGACGAATATATGCGCGTCCTGTATAATTTATGTATGTATATAAGCGCGAAACACACAGTACTCATAAAAACACGGTTAGATTTACATTGAATCGATAATCAAAAGCGGCGGTATCGATCGATCGATCGATTGCGATCTCCGACCGACGGCTAACTTCATGTATTTACCTGTAATAATATGAGGCTCGCTTCGAACGGTTGTAAAAAAAAGTGCCCAATTAATTCTTGCCGCTTTATGGTGTGAACGGTGTATAGCTTAATGACAGGAATCATTTGAACACTATACACGTCACAGAGTTATTAAACATTACCGAACTATTTTTAAAGACAAAAAAATTGTATTGCCTCGTATTATTCGAAAGATTATCCCAAATATATTACGCGACAGAAACAAGGATCGAGGTTAATGAAAGAATATCACTGTAGAATTGTATATACGTCGTCCCCAATTCGTTTTACCCGCGAGAATTTGATTACTTGAAAAAGACAAACGATGAGAATAGGTATTATTTCGTCGGGTAGGAGAATTGTATGTTGTACAGTTACATGCTCCTCGCATCAGGTTTCACAAACAGGAAAAACGTAAGAAAGGAAAAAGATTCGCGTGACTGGCGCAGTTCATAACTTCATCGACATGAGTTACTACGGATCTTTATATTATTATCTAGTCATCGAGTGATAATAAAAATTCTATCATAATCTATAACGTGTTGTACGTTATTTGTTTCGAATTCTTTTTATTCGTTACTTGTTTCATTTATCTTTAATCCTTTCGTGAGCGCAATGCTTTCCTTTTTTTTAAAGATTTCAGTTATCTATTGCTCATCGCGTTAATATAAACGCAACCTTGAAATCGTTTTTACAGAAAAACGGATTTTGGAAGAAGCAAATTTTGTAACTTGTTGGATTGAAGATTTTTATACAAATTTCAATGTCATTTCAATAAAGAAAGGAATTTGAAATTTATATTTTCCACTGTAGATTGTATCTAGTCTCCAATAAGATACAAAATTTATTAGACCTTTGTTAAAGTTTATATTTTATTTTAATTATTGTTTTCGAAATCTACAGATTTCTGTAGAGATTTCTTATGAGATATACAAAAATCTTTTATTAATTTTGGTAAATAAAATATATTCCCTCTCTGTAATCATAACTTAAAAACTTCACTCATAATTGGAATCAGAAAAGAAATACAACATTTCATCAAATGTTAATGGCACTTTATTGGTGAAGACTATGTACAGATGCTGTGTAATGATACATCTATGTTTATATGTACACGCGGGCGAATTTCTGACGTCGAGAAAACGAAACACGACAAACGGACTGATTTCGTTTCGACCACAAGGTCGCGTCAAATTTCAGAAGGGGAGAAACAATCTACAAAGGGTTCGAGTACGTTTACATGATTATATACAAAATTCGCAAATGTACAGTTCTGTTCTCATTTGACGAAGTGATCATTTTGTATCATCGTTTTTAGCTTCAATATCTCGCGAATGTAAGAAAATACTTTCTTCGTAAATTTTAACAGGATATCAAACGCGTCTCTTTCGTTTAACAAGAACTGTTCAAAATATTAAAAACTTGAACGACGCGTGAATGGCAGAGATTCAATAAAGGCATGATTATAAAAAAATAAACACTGGTGTTGTTTCCACAAGGTTTAACGAGCAACTCTACGTTTGACTTTTCGATGATTCTTCTCGTGCTCGTCTTATTTTGCCTATCTCTGTTAATTATCTAACGATTCCTCGAATGTTCTCGTCTTCTTCAGAATACTTTTGGTAATTTGCAATTGCTTCGTTATCGCCTTTTCAACATTTTTCTTATTCTTATTTGATGCAGACAAATGTTGGAAAGTGTCCTCCAATGCTCTTCTCGTTTTCATTAACCTTCTCTTGAGCGTTTCATTTTCTTGCTTCAAGGCGTCTACTTCGTCTAAACCTGACAGAATTTTAATTTTATTTTATCGTAATAATATACTGACTATTAACGTTTATAGAAATTTAATCAAAGACATAACAAATTTAAAAAAATTTACATAATGTAAATCTATTCAATGATCATAAAAATTCAATCAAAAACTTAACAGATTAAGAAAATTATACTTAAAATAAATCTATTTAATGCTTATAAAAATTCAATCAGTAATTTAACAAATTAAAAAATTGTTCTCAAATATATTTACTCAATAGAAATCTAATTACCTTCTATCGGCAATGGACTCTCGCTACCTGCTTTTCGAACGGACCTGTTACCATTGCTGCTATCTTCATCGCTCAGTAGATTGGTCATTGATTCCGTAATCTTTAAAGTGTCTTTCAACGGCCTCATTGTACTCATAGCCGCATCACTCTCAATCCCTAAATCTGGTGAACAACTCGATTTACTACGTCCACCAATTGTCGGATAATTTACGGAAAACCAGTACTGCGAATTCTGAAAAGCATGAATTCCACTTTGGTGGTAATATTGAACAATACATGCATAATATCATTATATATTAGAAGTTTAAAGTAAATTTGTTCTGTAAAAAAATAACTTGTAAAATAATTATACCAAATAATTACTTCATTTATATTCACATTTCAAGGTACCAGAACTAATAAAATTTAGCAAGAAGTAATCCAATAAACATTTTAAAACTAATAAATATTTAATAAACCAATTGTTTTAACGTAAATAATATTTTTGTACTCAGTTACTATAAATTTTGTATCCATTATTACTTAATCTGCATTATAAAAAAAAATGATTAAAATTAAATCACTTGTAATATCTTAAATCTAGTCTGTATTTTTAAAAGCAAAAAAAATGTTGTAAGTAGCAAATTTTAAATATTATTGTATTATGGTATTGATATTTTCATTTTCGAAAGTAGTTAATATTTATAAATAATCTGGTTCTTAATAATTGTCTGTCACTAACGTTATATGATTGATATTCTTGCATGATATCCTCACAAGCTTGCTTAAGTATACCATCCGTAGGTATTGAGGATACGCCGCTCGAACTTGGCGCTGAATCACTTGCGTCGCAAACTGCAACGTGCCTTCGCAATTCTTTATTAGTTACTTCCAATTCCTGTAACCGCGCCCTGTGCGACTCATTGATTTGATTTAGATCCGAGATCTAAAAATTTTAATCATTTAAAAATATATACAATCTATATCTTTATACCTTACCCTTTTAGCGATCGTATCAAATTAGTCATATCAGAGTTGTCTTTTGAATAAAAAATAACAAAATACTTGAATATATTTGTTGGAAATCATAAAATAATACACGACAGAAAACGTATCTATAATTTTTTAAAATAAGTCGAACAAATTGTTTTATTTTAGATACCAATGATTTTTTCAACTTAAAAATGCTATGATTAAAATAAACTTCTTACTGTGTTCAAGTGTTGATAATGATGTTCTTGGATTATAATGTAATCAGGAAAATTACTTCATATTATAAAAAATTCATAATAGTTGTTTATAATATAATAATATAATATAATATAATAATTGTTTATAATATCAAAAGATTGTAAACAATAAGTAAACATTATTTAGTAATTAGTATTATATAGTAGGAATACAGAAAAGCTCACCTCCTTGTTAAATTTGTCATGAATATTACGAACAGTCAAGTCACACCTGCTTTCCGTTTTTCTAACTTCCTGCTCCAAGCGTAATTTATCATTGGTCAATTTGGTGTTTTCAACTAAAATTTGACTGTGTGAAAGAGTTAAATGGTCCAGTTCTTTCGTTAAAGTTGTTATGTTTGCTTTGGCAGCTTCATTTTCATCTTCTAGTTTCTTAATTCGTGTTCTCAACTGAAATAGTTCGTAATTAAATCAGTTAGAAACAAAAATATAAAAGAAAATGTATTAATCAATAGTTCAATCAGTTATAATTAGCTTCTTAAACTTTTCCTCTATATTAAAGATTTTAGACTCATACAAATAATATAAAAATTATCATAAATTCTGATAAAACTTATCTTCTTTTTATATTGAATATATTTACGAATGCTAGTCATGTATAATATTTGAATTCTATTTATAAGAAAATTTTATATAAATAAAAATATAATATATATTATAAGATATATTATAATAATATAAAGAGAATGTTTTATTACCGTATCGTTTTCTCTGTTAAGCGTAATGAGCATCTCGGCGGCTTTTCTTTCCGCATTTTCTTTATAATGCAATAATTCTGTTTTTTGCTTGTTCATTTCTGTAGCCATAGTCTCTAAATCGGCTAACTTCTTTTCTAGTTGTGTTCTGCGCAAGTTGTTCTGCTTGCTTTCCTTCTTTAACACATGAACTTCGTGTATTCTTCTGTCCAAAGATGTCTGTAACTTTTCGCAGAATTTCTGCGATTTTTCCAATTTGATAATCAACGGCGTTATTTTTTCATCAAATGCCTACAAAATTCAAAATTCGATTTCAAATTGACATTGTAATATTAATCAATTATTGAATAATTACTATCATAATTCCAAAAAGATACATTCTTGTATTTTTCAAAATGATGATAACAAGGTGACAATTAAACCTTTTTAATTCACCCTATTAAAAACTTAGGTGGAGGCAATAAAATCAGATAATTCTTCCAACATTTTTGTTTGCATCCTCAATAACACAATTCAGTCTTTGAGGAAAACTATTAATATGAGGACCAATTATATTTTCGACTTCTATCTCGAAGAATAGTGACCACAACCTTTATTACGTAATAACAATAGAAATCCTTAAAGTGTAGTGATTTATTATCATATTTCTTATTAAGTTTTTGTAATGTAATAAACCATTTTTAGTTAGAATAATCATTAAAGAAAATTAATGTTTAATACTGTTGTCTTTTTATCACCGTAACCCTTTACTGCCGAGATGAAGTCTCAGAAACATATCAATCTCCTTCGTTAAGCAATAATATTATATAATACAAATAGAATTACTGATGTTTATTTTAATACAAGCATCAAATTAACTTAAATATCTGGTCACCAAAACAAGATCACAATTGTATTATTTAAGAAAATGTTTAAAATACAATGCAATTCAGGTTGGCAATTAGTTAACATTAATTTCCTTCACCAAAAATCATTCGTTCAATAAATAACCAACGTGATCATTACTTTAAAATGCTTTTAGCATTATACTCACGCAATCGAAGGAAATCTTAGTGCTCAATTCACTCCTAAGAGCGCTAAGCTCCGAATACAGGAAAGCATTGGTCTCCTTCAGTTCTTGTATCTGATGGCTAGCCTCGGTATCGTTCAAATCATTTTGGTAAGTCTTATGATAAGGCACGTATTCGAGAGAATCTTCAGAATCACTGAACGTTTTCGTATATTTGGAGAACCTGGATCGAACCAGCGATTTTTGTTGCGGTTCCTGCAGCCCAATCCTGGCCATAGACACCGTTCTATCAGGTTCGGAGAACGCCTCGGAGTCTGACTGCGTGGACGTTTGATTTTTCGTAGCACTCAATAGATTTTCGGATCGACTTTTCTTTACCGAGCCATCAATCGATCTTACATTCGCTGTTTCAATACTGTACGGAATCTCGTTCATCGAAATTCCTTCTAGAGCATTCAAGAAATCATCAGACAATATCTTCGAATTGGCGAGGACATCAAGAACGATCTTCTTCTGTTCGTTCCTGATAGTATCAGCGTAATCGACGTTCTTCAGCATTTCCTTCATAAACTTCACCAGGTCTTTTAAGTGTGTACGCAATAATTCGCAGTATTTTCTGTCTCTCTCCGTCTGATTATCTCCATATCCATCGATTTCGGAAGCAATGTCCGGTCTAGAGACCAGCTTCAGCCATTTCAAGTAATCGACTTCCTTTTCCAGCTCGTTTTTCTGGATCAACAGCTTCTGTACATAGTCCGTCATAGTCTTTACGTCTATGGGTTCATTCCCGTCGACGTAATTCAGTTGGATCACTTCATTGGTAAACGTCACCTTAATACCAATGTCGTTTAACTCTTTGATAAGCGTAGACAGCTGTGTACTAGCGCTTTCTGTCACGATGTCCGATTTATTTCGGCTTCTCTCGTGGCTGCTGTTCGCAGTCATGTGGTTGTGGAGCTTCGCGATTTCCTTGTTCTTGCTCCACAATTCTGTGTTCACCAGCTGCTGCAGGTTTTGCGTCTTCACCTGCAACTCTTTCGTCAGTTGCTCGATCTTTCGGTTCTTTTCCTCGATTTCACTGTCTCGAAGTTGTAACTTGCGTAAAAGGCCCTCTTTTTCGTGTAGGCTCTCGAATTCGTTTTTCGTAGCTTCCTGTAGTTTCAGAAATTCGTTAACCTTGACTTCCAGCTGCTCTTTTATCGCTTGCTTCTCGATTTCTAAAGTCTCTATCTTCTGTTCCCTGTCTTGTACTTGGCCTAATAGTTCCTGTCAAAAAAGATACGTTTTTTGATTAATGAGTTTATCATTCGATATTTTTCATTTATCCACATTTGCCAACTTTCGTCAAATCGAGATTTACAATTAAACAATTTAATCGTTACATGACTTAATGATTTCAATTCAATATTGTTAATTTCATTGCTTCTTCGTGAAAATTCTTAAATATCATAATAATAACCTATTTTAAATTAATTTTTATTGTGATTTATTACACACCGTAATCAAAAAATTGATAAGAATAGTTATACCACAATAGTAATTATACCACACGTAAATACATGTTATAGTAAATTCTTAATAAATGATAGTGATCTTTTTTAAAATGTACTTTGAGGTCGTATGTAAGTATGTTTACTGAATCATTTATCGGTTATAGGAAAATAAGCTCTTTGATGCTATTCGTAGACTGAAAATCTTTAAAGACTAATCGATGAGCACAATAAACTCTTTATTAAATAAATAAGAATATTATTTAAAATCATAATTCATCGTTTTATCTTTTTTCTAATAAATATCTTTACACAAATTACAGATTCGATATCAATGATTATTCAATTCATTAACAAACAAGAATCACATGTATCATATTAGGGTACAATTTTATATTAATTTTCAATTCAGACAAGACTTCCATTGCAGAAACAATTCATACACAATTAAGGTTATTTTAATTAAATAATACTGGGAATGTGCAAATTTTAACTTACAGAACTTTATAAATAGAATAGTGATTATTATAACATATTCCAGTACAATCATAAGAAAATTAAAACGAATGTGCTCCATACGTGTAAAGAACTGTTTTTCACAAAATATATTATCCCAAAGACTTACAAATTTTTACTTTCATCACTTGACATAATTCCATTTTCTAGATTTCGGTTTTCTAAATATTTTCTAAATTCTCTAAATTCAAGCTCTATAACCAAATTACGATTTTCTCCAAGATTTCGAGTATAAACAGATTTTGCAACAAAATATAAGAGAATTACCTGCGATTCAACTTGTATCTGGGTCTCCAAACGACTCTTCTCAGCCTTGATGGTCTCTATTTGGTCTCGTAGGTCGTTTATTTTCGCTTCCATTTCATCGAATCGTTGCTGCACATATAAATTATTGTTCTCGTCAATAAAACTCGACAATAAATCGGTAGAACGATTTATTTGTAAAACAAATTGCAATTACAAAGCATATAATAAATGTATAAGTATATACAACATTATAATGCGTGCGAATTAAACAACAGGGAATTTGAATATTTTGTGGAACATGAAATGTGATGTGCAAGCGTCTAACATCGTGTCAAAGATTTAATACGTGATACAGGATTTATATAGGGGCGAGGGGTTAGGAGGGAAGTAGAAGGTGGGTTTTTAGAATTTCGGTTTTCTTGACCAACTGCGTGGCGATACAAGGGTAACGATATCTGGTCCCTAAAAGGAAAAACATACATCGAGTTTGTAACTTTACTTCTTTTAGCCTTAACTCTATCGCCATTCTCTAGATGCAATTCTAATTTAAATAAAAAATAACAGAACAAGACATTTTAGCTATTCGTAATTTGAACTTACACACTTGCTACTATTGAGACTATCTTAATTCTTGGTTAACAATGTTTGAATCTATTTTAACCTAAATATTCAAACATTTCATTTAACTTCGTATGCTCTTGTAGCTAATAAACTATTGGTTATCAGTTGATTATATTAGATTTAATAATAGATTTTTGAATCTTGTGAAATGGCATTTGAAAAAATATTTCCATACAATCATGATAGTCAATGACTGGATCACTCGTGACTTCCAATAGATATTTGAGTCTCAATTGATCCAGTGAAAGTTAAGCAATGTCCTTTTGAATGATTTATTTACACATTACTTTGCGACGACTGTATGATTAAATTTAAACTTAACCCCTTACAACTACTTTTAATCAAGGATATACTAACAATTTATTGATAATTCTTAGATTCTGTATTTAGAACATAATTGTTTGTTTTACTGTTTAATGTGTGGAAAGAAACAATATTATAATAGTCGAATAGCTCCAATGCTAACAAAATTCTAATGTAATTTTCTTTGTTAGACACAGCTTACAATGGAAAGTCTCAAGAAGTAGCAACTGTGATTTATAAGATGTAATATGATGTCAGCGTTATATTCGAGAGATGAGGGTAGTACAAAGAAGAAAGATAGTAAATAAACACGTGTAAGAGGAAAAATAAAGTATTCTCTCTCTCTCTCTCTCTCTCTCTCTCTCTCTCTCTCTCT